TATTCAAATAGTGGGATTCTGAATATTCTACCATTTGAATCATCGAATGATTGGGCACGACCGAGTATCCGAACATTCGAGTGATAAAGTAAGTGCGTTTCTTTCTAAAATATTCGACATTCGAATATGCATATAATCGAATTATTGAAATATTTCATTCTAAAATAAATATTAATCTCACTCATATCTGAGATTTCCCCAGGTATGTGCTAAAAATTCGATGAGTTCGCAGACATTCGAAGATCGAATTTATTCAAATCTTCGAAACTTATCAAACTCATTCGAATGCCAACGTTTAATATTCATTAGTCGCACAACTGAATACATCTTTTCAAATATTCGACTGTTCAGAATTCGAGTAGATGCGGTTTTTTGAATTCTCGAATATCGACTACAATTACTCGAAATGTTCGCATGTTTTATTCGAACATGGATATTCGGTCTCAACTGTACTGCGGAATGTTTAAGTCAGATGCGCCAAATGCAAGATGAGAAGAATTTCCAAGATCATAGAACATAATCTACAAAATTTTTAAATGTTTATTAGTGTCCAGTAACAATTTAATTCTCAACAATGAGCTTGACAGCGTCACAGGGCATCGCATACATGTAACTGTCCTGCAAAATAAACAGGAAAAATCTTCATCGCTGAGTGCTCCAAAGTTTTAAAAGCAGCTAAGTGCTTTTGACATTCTCAACATGTCAACTACTTCTTTAATATTTACTAACAACTTACAAATGTCCAGGTCGTAGGGACCTGCCAAAAATAATTGGGTTGCCAGTAATAGCCAGAATCCAATATTCCAAGCGGTCCAAGTACAAGAGCTCCATCATGACAGGCTAAGTGGGATGTACTTGCTGCTACCACTGGAGTGTTGTCCTAGACATATGGCATAAATATCAAGTCAAATCAGTGGTTATTCAATTAGAGTAATAGTGTAGGCCTTAAAGTTTAGGTAAAGCACATTCTTTATAGTTAGGTTTTATACAGTTAGATGTGTAGGAGTAAGTATAGGCTTGGACGAATAAAAATAATTTTGATTACATTAATAGGACAGTCTAATTCTAGAAACCTCACCCTTGTATAACGAAAGTCAAACGTTAGGCAAGTATCACCCTTTCCACCACAACGTGTTCCCATGCCTTCTTCAAGACCAAAAAAACGCTCTCGCATCCAATCTCTTCCTGGAATTCCATCCAAAATGACTGTATTATTAACCTGCAATATTCAAATTGTAGATACAAAGTTCTGTTGGGTATATTAATTTATCTTAGGACACATTTACCTTTGCTCTGATGATGCGTACGCAATCGTTACTGCATTCCGACACTGTGCCTTCCATACTGTAGGAGGGAACGATTAAGAAAAGTGCCGCATATAGCCACATGATCTGAAAAAAAGAGGTGTTGGTCCCAGAGTTGATAGTCAAGAATGTAGATGAACTTAGTGACCGCAATTATATCTTTATAAGACCTAGCCAACCTTACCTCAGATTTTCACATTTTTAGGAGGTTTTGCTCCTAGGGAGAACACTTTTTGAGATGAGTGACTGTTGCGTTTT